TTAGAGTTTTGGATAGTTTAAATTAGTGAGATTTGATTTTAATCCCTTGATTTATAAGGTTTTTGGGTATTAAACTTTTATTAGAAATATCATTAATTTTGGGCTTATATGGCAAAAATAGTGAGTTAGTCCTTTCTATAGTGTGATTTGGGTGTGATTTATGCTGCAGAAATTAGAAGGAAATTGGATTATTTACGAATTACTGTTCACAATTACTGTTCACGGATTACTGTTCATAAATTACTGTTTACGGATTACTGTTCACAGATTACTGTTCACCGATTACTGTTCACGCATTATGCTTTGATCTCTTTCAATAGGAAATCCTAATATTATTTTGGACATATTATGAATTTGTTTGACATGTGTATGTGTTTGTAGCTATGGAGTAAGTGGACCTAAGCTTAACGCTTGGGGTATTTAGTGGACCCTTCGGGGTATTCAGTGGACCTCTGCGCAGTAGGGTTAGTACTGTGATTAGCTCCAGTACAGTGTTGCTAGCACACTTCAGTGGACTCCATAGCATTGTGTGATTTTCGATTTTATGCATTGCGCTTGTGACATCATATTTGTGAGCATAAGATTCTAGTATATGAATTCAATTTAGACATTTGTGCTTATGATTTGAGAATTATAATATTATGTGATTTGATTTCGTTGTGTCTTATGCTCTTTGTGTGATAGGTCTAAGGGTCTTAGAACCCAAGTTTATAACTTAAGCTTATTACTTACTGGGCTGTGAGCTCATAAAAATCCCCCCCCATTTCAGATCAGTAGATCGAGGTAGCAGCATCTCGGTTTAGGAGCTTTTGGCACGGGACTCGCATGCTCGTTGTATGTACAAGCTAGGGCCTCGTGTTTTCGATAAGGAGGCAGATCGATGTGTTACCAAAACCATGACTCAGCTTTTGTTTTTTTGAAAAGCTTTGAAGAAGAATTTGCCTCGTATAATTTTTGTGTAAATTAGCTTTATGTATAAAACCTTTAAATTAATTATAAATGAGTTTAGTTCAGTTTATCTTATAACTTTGAATATTTTGGCATTTTCCAATATATATATGATATTCTTTTTATTTAAATTGATTTTCTGAATATAGGCTTTCTTTTGAAGAAATATTTTATATGATAAGTGTTTTCACTTCCGCTGCAATTCTTTACTATCAATTTTGTTTCTGAACTCTCCTAGGACTAAGAGTGCCTAGGGAGGTGTGTTACATACACAGTCCCTTTGCACCTTTTGTGCCTTATATTAGTGTGTGCCTGTGCTTTGCCCTTGTGCATTGCCTCTTGCCTACAAGACCCCTTAAGTGTCTAGGTGTGCCTAGTGCATGTTAAGGCTTAACTGATTAGTTTCCTGAAAGGGAAATGGGGATGGAATAGTATTTCACTCTTGATTGAACCAATTGGAATGTGGCTATGAGTTCTTGCCCATATTTGATGTATGTTGAATGGTTTTTCCATAACTTTTTAATTCTTAAATGTTGGAATGATTGTCCTTCTATTTTAGAACTATCCCTCTTTTTCTTCAACTTATCTTAGAATCTTTTTCAACTTTTGAATTCTTAAATGTTTGGTATTGTAAAATCATGAAATTCTTGTGCCAGCTTATCTTAGTAAATTTGAATCTTTAGAGCCACTTTGATCATGCTATGTCTATGTCTTTCATTGCTATTCAATTTTTTGTTTTAACACGGTATTCACTTTCCTGTATTCAGCAAATAGCATATGGTTGTTTAATATGGGAAGGGTGGTCTAGCAAATTATCTTGGAAGGGCCAGAGGGTTAGTTTGTTATAATGAAGGTTAAGGCAGGTTGGTGTTTAGTTTTAGTTCATCTCATATCACAAGTAAAGGAATATTGAATGTAGGAATTTAAGATATTGATTGAATGAATAGAATGCTCTAGATAAGGCAACACTTTAACAATGTCTATGTCAGGGCTTGTGATTTTTTTGATGCATATCTGTTCATGTTATAATCCTGGGTTAACTTTTATTAGCCTTAGGGTGCAACATATAAGTTGTTTTACATTTCGACATGAAACTCTTATGTAATATCTGTTGGATCTATGGATGCACTGTATAAGCCTTTCACATATTTCACAATTGCCTATGCTAGGATGCTGCATAACTATGCTAACTAGACTGTCACCTTTAGGTTTTTTTTTTTTTTTTTTATTGACAGGAGGAAATGGTTAGATTAGGTGTTAGTATCTGTTTCTTTGTAGAAGAGTTGAACTTTGGAGTTGGGTGCATTTCACCTGCTGCCAATGGGCAGCGTGGCCACCACCAGGCCGCATGGGGGATTGCAGGCTGTCACCTTTAGGTTTAATTGCATGTAATTTCGAACTTTATCTCCTTTATTTCTGAATTTGTTAAATTGCTTACTTGCTCCCACTGGATCGTCAATGATGGTTTGTGACTTGTGAGCCATTTTCTGAAGACCTATAGACAGATTACGATGGGCCATTTTCACATATTCTGTTGAGCCATTGCTTTAATGGAGATGATTTTTGCTTGATGTGTGGAGCTCTAGAAATAAATGTGAAATTTGGTAATTTTAGGTCTCTCCCTTTTTTTTGTTTTGTTTTGTTTTATTTTATTATTTTCTAAGTTTGTAAATGGCCATTATTAATTTTCTAAAAGTAGTATATCAAAAATACCAAGTGTATAAAGTTGGAATACTAATGCATCCTTTGTTTGGTGAGGTGGGATGGCTAAAAAAAATGGTATGGTGAGGTGAGCTGGAATTACTCCAGGCAGTCTTGGATGTAATTGAGTTTGCAAATTGAAGGAGACTAACAGTCCGTTTGGTTGGCCGGAAATTGGATTTCGGGGGACCTCATTGTATAAAGTTCACCATTATTTGTGACTTTGTCCGTGGAAGTTGCAATTTTTCTTGGTTCTGAGCAAATTTCTAAATTGAGAATTCTGTTATGCCATGATTTGGGTTTTTTTTTTTTTTTTCGCTCCGACTACTCCGGACTCGACCAGCTGTGGCGCACCAGAATGGTGGGTGGGTCTCCCAACAAAGACTGCTGCGTACACAAGGTCTCGAACTCGAGACCTTGCTTAAGCTGGAACAAGCCGCTTAAGCTGGAACAAGCCGCTTGCCACTTGATCCAACCCCTCATTGGTAAAAAATATTGATGAGGTTTACAGTCTTCGTTGGAAAGAAACCTTACTTGGTCATGTCCGGGAAAAGTGACATTTGAATGCATTTATAAATGGTTAATAAATCTTTAAATAGTAAAAAAATATAGTATTTTTTGAATGGTTATCTATATTAAAATTATTTTA